ACAACACATTGAGACATAAAATGTCTTTAAGACGCCAAAGACATTTTATTTATCTTTTTTGGATACTTTATATTGTCTGAGCGTCTTGCGCTAAGGTATAAATTAAGGATTAATGCCTCTCTTATTCGAAATAAAGAATAGCATATATATTGTTCGATCTTACGAAATGATACTGCTGACAATCCCTTTGTTCAATTTTAGTTTCGTATTTGTATAAGATATAGCTTTCCTATTAAAATAAGTTACGATATGCGGTGATACAGATCGGACATATTGACGTATCGTAAATATCTTAAATTAAACGTTCCGAAATATCTGTATAATAACTTTATTACCTTATATCTGTATAATAACTTTATTACCTTATATAACCGTATATGCCCATAATGCTCTTATTTAAAAAAATTGCCAATGAAGATATGCTTCATGAAAAGGAAGCAGGAAAAGAGCGAACTTTTGAAACAGCGACACACTGTTTTAATTGTGAAGTGACAGGTAAAAAGTCAGCTTTCTTTCGTTGCATATTTGACTTCTTTTTTTCTACCATAAATTATACGTGTTAGAAAGAATATAATAGTTTGATAGTATTGAAGGTAAGTTCAAAGTTGACCGTCTTGCGTGCCGGAAGATCGCACAGCAGACCATAAAAAAAAACAAAATATTATAAATACATTTTTCTCCATTTTTCTCCTTTCTGATACTATAATAGTGAGTAGTATTGACTGTATCCACTTATTTTTTTCACTTTTTACAATCTGTTATATGACCTTTAGACTACTACAGATTCGAACCATAAGACTCTAGAACATTTGAACATAGTCAAACTATTTTTTTTCAAATATGCTATGAAAATACTTAATATTTAATGTTAAAAGATAGTAGTTTCTTGTGAAAAAATATTATTGGATTAATTTACAAAACTTAGCTGTAATTAAAATTAATAGTGTATGATAATATAATGTCGGATACAAATTTCCAATTATTTTTAATTGTTTTTTCACAAATCCATCGTTAGAAACTTCCTTGTTGGAAAAATAATAAATAATTTACAACGGAAATCAAAAACGATAATGCGTTATTTGTTACGCCATTTTCGTTAAAGAACTTTTTTTTCAGTAATGATCGTTATTTTTTTGTCTATAAACATTAAGGATAGCATTATTACATTTTTATAATAATGCAGTTACGAATTCAGCTGTTATTGTTATACTTTAATTCCTTATTATAATCTCTATAACTACTCTGTGAACTACTCGAATAGCATTATTTTTAATTGGTTAGAAATATTTTCTAATAAAAATTTAAATATTAAAAAATTTTTTGTCTTTTTTATTTTAGGGTACATAATTCTGGTATAGTTATTATTGAAAATTTGTAACATATATACACATACATATGTAGTATTATGTAAATGAACTATAAATTTTTATTATTGACAGGCAATTTTTGGAATGCGCGTTATAACAACATTAATCTTTAAAAACAATTATAATAAAATCTGCATTTGTAAATTATAATCTAATTTCCTAAAAATAAGCATATATTAAAAAATTAATAAAATAAAATTCATACCTTTTTCATACAAACACAGAATATTGATATAGAAGATAATTTATTCAATTATTTAACATTCTAGTTGTATGTTTCATTAAAATTAAAAATTAAAATATTAATATAGATTTATAGATTAAAATTATATATTTATTAGTTGCTTTAGAAAAAAGTTATATAAAGTACTATAATCTTTTTTTCATGTACATCTAAATATAATGCACTTATGAACGTGTATCTCTAATCGTTCAAAATTATGATCTCTAATATAAAGACTATAATCTAAATATTGATTGTTTTAATATTATTACAATTATTATTGAATAAAGTAATTTTTAAATCTAGTATCTTACTTTGATATCACAAAAAAGTAACAAAAAATGAATTATTTTCTAAATAATCAGTAACGGGGGGTAATGAATTATTTTTATAAAAGTTAGTAAAAAATACTTCCAAGCTTTCTTTTAAAATACATTTTATTATAATAGTATTCTGTAGTATTGTAGTATATAATATTATGTGTAATATTTTTTAACTTTTTTTAAATATGTTTAAAAAAAATTGATAGAATCTAAAGATGAAATTTTTTAAATATTAGGTGTGGGAAAAAGTTCGTGGCGTTTTTCCTGTTAGATGGCATTAAAAAAACGCCACGAACTTTTTCCCATCTAATAATTATAATTATTTTTATATTGCAATTAATTAATTTCATAAAATGAATATGTTTTCCATGTTGCTTTTTATTTTATATTTATAGTTATAAAACAAAAAAATAAGAAAAAAAAATTTTTTAACCTTTTTTTTAGTTTTGATATCTTGGTAACACGTTTATCGATATATTTATCAATATAATAAAATAATAATGAAATTATATAACGAACAATTCCTTAGCAACCCGCACTTATACAAAATAATATATAATTGGCAATATATCCTGATACTGTGATTATAATTTACTGCACATATGTTTTATTTTTATTTATTTTAATGTACCTATTATAAAGTATATTCATTAAAGATTCGTAAATTATTTATGTTTCACAGTTAAATTACAATTATTCATTTAACAGTGATTAACAAACAAGCTATTTAAATATTTGAAGATACAAAACAATATTTATAATAAATATTAAGAAAATATATGCTCTATTTTATAAGAAATGTCTTTACTTTAACTTTTAATTTTAATTTTAAGAATATTTAATTTAATTTATTTTTATTTTCATATGTAACGTTTATGATGTCATTTAATTTTCTATGCATATCAAAATTTCTAAAAAAATTGTTTAAGTTTGCAAAGTTGTCTACGAAGGAGGTGAAAGTATATCGTTATGTTTCTAATAAACGGCCAAATTATGTAGCTACAATAAATTTAGATGAAGAATCAGAAGTCGAGGATTTTCTCAAGAAGCGTATACAAAAGAATTATAACGATATTGTCGCAGATATTACTGTGCACTCGCATAAAAAGAATAGAGATGATGATTCCGCGTTTGCGAAAATTAATACACCAACAAAGGGAGATATCAACCGAGGTACGTGCAGAGAGACACAGACATATTCACGAGCCCCAAGCTTATCGACATCAAACCAAAGAGAACGCGAGAGAGGAGACGAATTCTGATTCATTTGAGGATGAGGAACTATCAGATTCGAAGATAGAAATGATGAGAGACCCTAAAGCAACGAGTATTATCCAGGAAGAAAACTGAGGAGGATTTGATACAAGGAAAGGCGGAAGATAGAGAAAGGTCAAAAGAGAGCTTGGAGTACGAAAAGTACACAGACTGTGAGGAAGAAACTAAATCGCAGTTGAAATCTGTGTTCGTTTGCAAAAAGAATAGAATCAAAGCGGAAAAAGAGAGAGCGGTGATGCAGAAGAAACAAACAAAAGCTTTGATCACAACCAAGAAAATTGCCCAAAAACGAAAGAAACAAATTCTGAGGATGATGGAAGAGATAATGCGAAAAGAGAGCAATAAAGGTAACACTAAGAAGAGTAAGCTCAACGACGTTCGCAACTGATGACGAGAATGACGAGGTAGAATAAGAAGCTTGGAAGCTGCGCGAGCTTAAAAGAATCAAACGAAATCGGGAAGAGAAGAAACAGTTTAAAAAGGAACGTGTAGAGATCGAGCATATTCGTAATTTGACTGAGGAGAAACAAACAGAAAGCTCGACTGAATTCTAAGATAATTATAGCGACCAAAGGAGAGTACAAATTTTTACAGAAATATTATCATCGTGGCGCGTTCTACTTGGACAAGGACGCTATATTTAAACGCGACTTCTCTGCCGCGACTTTAGAAGTCCTTTTGACAAAAGAATTTTACTAATGATCAAGCGGATGAAGAACTTCGAGAAAAAAAAAATCAAATACACTCATTTGCTGGATCAGAACACGACGCAATTTGATTCTTGGATATCGGAGACAAATCTAAATCTCAAGTTTTATAATAATCAAGCGGCAGGAATGAATAAAATATTTGATCGACCTTCCTTGAAAAAGACGAAAGCTAAGAATTAAGTAGTGTAAATAAATACTTACATGCCTACATTTCCTAATCTTTTATTTTTTTTTAATGTGACAATTACATAAATATTCAATTGTAACATCGAAATATTTTTTCATAAGTACATATAAAGTTTCAGTATATATTCGACAAATATATAATTATAAAAAAGATATTCTTATATGAGACTTATATAAATATGCAAGAATTGATTTATATAGTTCATATTTTCTCTTTGTTCTAACTTGAAGAAAAAAGAAGGAAAGATAAACTACAATAAGTAGTTCAATTAATAAAAGAATTATTATACCGATATTTTAGCATCAGTTCGAATCGTTAATTTTAACAATTTTTGAATAAAGAAACGATTAATCGAAAATCAACCAAAATCGATAATCAAAGTCTATAACATATCTATAACATAAACATAAATCTTTAATTTTATCAATCATGCTGTATGCATAATAACACGATCTTCTTTTCTTTTCGAAAGTGGACGTACTAATGTCATACTTCAAGATACTCTGAATTGCTCCGAGTTCAGCAATGTTCAGCAATGTTCAGAACGTTTATGTTCTCGTTATCAGTTGTTAATTATTAATAATGTCGAGAATGATCGAATCATAGTCGCATATTCCCCTCTCATTCAACTGTAAGAGGGGAATACTCGACTATGATTAGTCAATTCGTACAGATAACAGTCATACGTATGGATACGGCAAATAGAAACGCTCCCTTAGTTTAGAAATTCTAAGATGGCAAGGTTTTGAGTCAGGCTCTGTCATTGGTCAGCAAAAAATGCCCGCGCACAAGCACTTCCTTATTACTTCCACGACGGTACGGAGGCCTACGGTAACCAGTCGAGTGAATCTAGTCTTCACTCTTTATTAGTCCACAGTGCTGTGCAGTCGTACCATCATACCGACGATCGCTACAGAACGTTCATGTTCATGCTCGTTTTCGCACTGCATGTGACCGCCGGGGCATGAACACGCGCGTCTCATAATCGGACCGAATCAGTTTTTTTTATTTTATTTTAATTGTGCCGCGACGAAGTGTAACCGACAGCAGTTTCATTATTTTCGTATACGCCGTTGTACCACGCGACCGTGCGAAATCGTGTCACGCCGCCATAACGAGACGTTGAAAATAACGTGTGGTGTCGACAAACCTGTGATCGTCGCCGAACCCAGAATCACCGGAGCTTCAGGCCCCACGACTCGTGCGATTTTTAATGTTTTGTACCAATTGTGGAAACGAGGATGGATACTCGAAACGAGGTAAGTCACCATAGTCGACTCATAAGCGACACAAAGCGTGAAAGTGCATGCTTTTCGCGCGGCCGAGCGTGGTCGTCGAGGTTAGGTAGCCGCGTCTCTCGGACAGAATTCGCCGAGGATTTCTCATTAATAATCATCGTTTTATAATATTTTCTACAAGTTATTTCACGAAGTCATCGATAGACGGACTCGTCTTATGTTTCGGCACAATTGAATTCCCAAGAATTTCGTTCTAGACGCCTCCACGTGCGCCACTTAACGTCTCTGTAGAATATTCGATTATTGTGAATGTTTAATTTAGTAGTAATTTACGAATTTCTCATTAACTCGCATCGATAGCTAGCCGCTCATAACTGTACGATGCAAGTTTGATAAAATATCGTTTTATTTAATTATCATTTGATTCGTGACTCGCTTCTATGATACTACATAAAATGGCTGCATTTGGAACAATTTATTGCTGATGATTTACTTTTGAATACTCTTTTTAACATATGTTATGTTTTTTGCGCGTGCCTTTAACATGCTAAAAAAAATAATTGTTTTTTTTTTTTAATTTATTCAGAAATGCATCTAGTAGGAAATTATATTATTACAAAATTTTTTGTTTGTCGAACGTAACTAGTTCATCTTTTATAATAAACTTTCATCGGTTAATGTTCTTTATTTTATCGAATAATTTAGAAAAAATATACGACATTTATTTTTTATTTCTAACAGCTTGCACTAGAACTTTTTTTATCGCTTTCGTTAAATATCAACTTTCTGCCATTGCTGTATTATATTAATTTTAATTTTTTTCAACGATTTAAACATTCTGCCAAATACCAAGACAATGATTTTTTTATACCTGAATATTAGTTTTACGATGTTTCCGGTTCGACAACGTTTTGTATTATTCAATTTTAGTGATTTATTCTAGAGTGAAATTGCTATTTGGTTAATTTCTAAGTATTGTACTGAAGAAACCTAAACGTTCCTCCTTGCCAGGATAGAAATATCTGTGTTATTATATGAACAACATATTTTTTACACATGTCCATCTTATGTTGGCTTTATTGAAATTTTTTTATTTATTGCTTTAGAATCTTTATTCTTTTATTTTTTCTCAAACTCATATTTTATTTTCTGTTACTCGGAATAAGGGATAATATATAATATATTATTATA